GCAGATTCTGTCCCTCTACTCTGATCTTCTGAGACCCCACCTGGAATGCTGCATGGCTGGCATTCCCAGCACAGGAAGGACACAGACCTGTTGGAGTGAGTCCAGAGGAGGCTACCGAGTTGATCAGAGGGATGGAACACCTCTCCTATGTGATCTACCTGCTATCTGCTCAGGGAGAATTTTTTTCTTCTGTGACTCTATAGTACTGATATTAAAATGATGAGAAAAAAAGGCCCACAAGAAACACAGAGAAAGGCTGCCCTGTTTTTTTAATGGCTTTGAAGTTGTAAAGAGAAATCAGAAAATTTCAAAACTGAAACGACTGAATACTGTATTTCACTGTTTCCATGAGCCAGTGAAGATGAAGATGTTTGCTAATGAGAGGCTCCTCTCCTTTAGACACCGGCAGAGCCAGAAAATTCCCCACTAATTGGTGAAAATTCCTTGCTATATGAGAGAAGTGGAGAAGAGGAGTAAGAGAAGGAAGAGGCCACAAAAGAATTGGCTAACTGAGGGATTCTGGTGTATACTTGTGTTCTTGTGTTACTTGTTCACATGTATAACCCATGCTGCTTCTGAATTACTTTTTTTTTTGTTTTCAACAGGCAATCTAAAAGTTATGTTTGCAAATTTTTTTTTCTTTGAAAAGCAAACTGATTTTATGCTACAAAATTTTAAATCTTCAGGCTATGTGTAGCAGAGACCCCTCAACACTGACGATTTGTGTCACAGCCCACAGAGGTAATAACACTTTGAACATCTTATTGTCAGCCCATTCAACTACTACACTTCTGAAAAGACTGCCAGTGCTTCTAGAGGGGTGTAGATTTCTGGGCAAAAACACAGTGGGGCTTAACCTGGGCTCGTCTAGCTAAGATGTCCACAGTAATTCAGTGTCCTTCTGTGAAGTTTTAAACCTGCTTCCTTCTGACTACTCTGTCATAATAGAAAACAGGCACAAATCCTGATTCGTATCTTTGGACTACACAACTCATAAAACAACAGATCAGAAACAGCCTGGCTTGAAACTCCAGGGTACAGGCAGCATCCGTGCACAAACGGAAGGCACAGTTCTCATGCATAAATCTGCAACACAACACTGGGATGTAAACTGAAGATACAAAGCAGGAAACTGTCTTTGGGTGAAGAAACACTCACGCCTTACCCAGTTAGTTTTTCATGACACTGCTTGCACACCTTCTGCTGCGTGTTTCCACAGCGGGGAACAACAGCAGTGAAGCTCCGGCAGCCCGAGCAGAACGACCGCCCGCAGTTCTTGCAGCCACACTGCAGAGACAGAGAGAGGGGCGGGGCAGGGCTTCACCAACCCGTCATCACACACCCCCACCGCTCTGCCCCGCCGCACGCAGGCACAGTGCCCGTGACAGGGCACACACAAAATAACGCTGGGGCTGTGCTGATTTTTTGTAAGAGAACTCCATCACCAGCTGCTGATGAAGATATGGAGACTTTCGAGAACCAGCACGTAACTCCTGCTGGGAGCTGAGTCACCACTTCAGCCCATAGTATAACAAAGTGTGTGCGTGGGAATTGTCTGAGACAATGACCGAATGCTGGATTAGAGGGATGACATGATGATTTTTTTCTCTTTTTTCTTGTTTTTGTCAGTAATCTCCCATATTTGAAGACATATTGCAATTAGGCACCACAATAGCTCAGTAAGCAGGGACAACAACGCCGGGATGCTGGCCAGGAAGATGTCTTGGCGCAGGGCGAGGCGGTTCCCGGTTCCCCTCTCAGACCCTCGCATTGTGGGGTCGTCACCCCCGGGACCGGCCGGTCCTGACCCCCCGCAGCCGGACTTGCCTCTTTCTTGAAGACAGAGAACTTGGACGCGCATCCATAGCACCGGCTATCCATGGCGCTACCGGAGGCGCGGCCCAGCCTCAGGCGCGGCGCTGCACGCCCGCTGAGGCAAGCTCCATGGTCCTCCCCCCAGGTCCCTTGGCTGCCTCAGGCTCGAGGGTCGACGACGATCGGGGCTGGCACTAGCGGGGAGGCGCGGAAAGCGCCCGCCCGTCCTCAACACACGGAGCTGAGGGCGCACGGCCCGACGGGAGTTGTAGTCCCTCGCCCCGCCCTTCCCGGCGCCAGCCGACGGGCAGCTCTCCGTGGATAAACTACACTGCCCAGGGCTCCGCACGGTCCCAGTGCCGGGCCGCCCGGGCCACCAGCCAGGGCACCATCGCCGCACGATGCATTGTGGTACCTGTAGTTTGGTGCCGCCGGCAGCGCCATGTCCCGGCGGACATTAGCCGTGGGTGTTAATTGGACCGAAAAGTGTCTTCTCTAATGCTGACAAGGTTGCCCCCGAGTTACTCTGGTTTTGGGGTCTTTTTCGTCTTAAACCTGTGGTGAGATCCTGGTTCAGAACAGCAAGAATCGACTGAATTGCAAAACTCCTGTTATCTCCAGCCCATCCTTGCCACTGTTGGTCTATGTGCCCTCAGAAGGGAATGTCCTGCAGGGTTTCCAGAAAGAGTTACTGAGTGTACCATGAGTCATCCTGCTAACCGCATGAGTTTGCAGGTACATTTTGCATTCTTTTCAGTTTAATATATAAGTCCACATTGTAAAAACCTACACAATTAAATTAGGAAACTGACTGATTTATTCAAGGAAGTAAGACTTGTTAATACCTGAACAAAGCTAAATTTAAAGAAAAAAAACAATGCAGGTTTCCCCTCTCAATTTTTTATTTTTGATTTGTTTCATTTTTGTTTGTATTTTTGTTTTGGTTGGTTGGGTGGGTTTTTTGTTTGGTTTTGGTGGGTTTTTTGTTTTCAGAAAACATTGGAAAGACGACTGTATCAAACTTGAAAGCTAAACTTTGCACCTGTTCAGCAATTATGCTAGAGATCACCCGGAAATTCCACGTATCGTAGGCATAGAGCAGGGAATCGAGACAAATATAAACTCAAACAAAAGACTTCATTGTCTTTGCTATTGAGCTGATCAATAGGAAAAGAGGAAGAGGAAGTTTGAATCTTAATGTTATAGTGCAACCTACCGACTGACAGGTGGAATTTGGAATGCCGCCCTTTAAGACAAAAATACAGTGAACGAAAGAACCTTCCTAACCAGACAGCACCACCAACAGAGGGGCACGGGAGGAAGCAACTTAGAGAACATCCCTGTTGAGAAACGCCTCGGCTAAATTTGCCGGATGGAACTGAGCGCCGTGACCAGGGCAGGAGAAAAGCTCACTCTCCCGTGTCTGGAGAAGAGGTACGGCACGTTCCCATTCCCGTTCCCTTTCCCTTGCAGGTGTCCGCCAGAGGGGGCCCGGCCCCCGCAGTTCTCCAGCTCCTACACCAAAAGCCATTTGGCAACGGAACAGCAGGAGCTTTCCTTTATTTCTTCTCTTACCCGCTGATGTTTCCCATGATAAAGCGAACTCGATTATAAAATCCTATGTGACAACTTAGCCTGTAAGGTTTTCAATTTCTAGTTGAAGTCCAGGAGAGATTAAATTGTCTTTGGTTCATGCCAAACTCAGTTGTTGCATTCTCTGTCCTACATAGTTATAGCCGCAAAAGCTGTGCTCTTCTCTAACTCGCTGTGAAACTGTGCCCCACTGTATTAGACTTGGCCTTGACAATCTTGGGGCTTGATTACTATAATGGAACATTATAGTAAAGCTTTGGATCTGAAAAATTTTAAATTAAGTAAAAATGTGACCGTTTGCCTACTAAGTCTCCCAGGCTGTAATGTTTTTCCTTGCAGTTCAGTGTGGGAAATAGGGCAGATCATCACCAGAGTGAAATTGAAAACTGAGTTTCAGTACTCTCTTGCTGTTGCAATAGGCTCATTTTCTTCTATTAGATGAGGAACCAACTGTATTACAGCCCATCAAAAGCTGCCCTTATTTTCTGTCAGACATTGTTTGCAGTCCTGAGCGATATGGATCAGGCAGAGTAAAGTCAGGACCCTGAATTTCAGGAAAACAAACTTCCAGCTCTTAAAGGAGTTAGTTAATAGGACCCTTTGGGAAACTGCCCTCTGGGACAAGGGACCAGAACCAAGGTGGTAGATCTTTAAGATCTGGTAGATCATAAAGCACAAGAGCTCTTGACCCCCAGGTGTAAGAAATCAGAAAAAAAAGGCAAGAGATTGGCATGGCTGAGTTGAGACTAAAGGGCAAAAAGGAAATGCACAGGCAGTGGAAGCAGGAAAGGGTATCCTGGGAAGAGCATAGGGATGCTGCCTGGTTGTATAGGAATGGGGTCAGGGAGGCTAAGGTGTGGATGGGGCTCAACTTGGCAAGGGATGCAAAGAATAGTAACAAGGTCTTCTACAGGTATGTCAGCCAGAAAAGGAAGGTCAAAGAAAGCATCACCCCCAATGAACACGACTCTAATGAACACGACAATGGATAAGGAGAAGGCTGAGATACACAACAAAATTTTTCTTGCCTCAGTTTTCACTGTCAACCTCTCTTCCTGCACTGGGAAGGGAATCTAAAGTAATATTCAAGTTACAAAGCTGTTCAGCACTATCTATTTAAAATAGGGATTCATTCAACATTGTTATACAATGAGACTTGTCACAGGGTTATTACTTTTGCACCTCCATGAAAGTCCTCAGACTCAGAGAGAAGAATTAGTATTTTTATAGTCTGAAGTTGAAGTTAAAAATAGAAGACAGGAACTTGTAAGAACTACAAGTATTTGTTGCCTGCTATGCATGCACTTTCCTACCATGATGCAAGAAAGCTCTAGACCCTGATGTCCATAATTTATCAATTATCAGTCTGCCGTGGGTGAAAATTAACCGGTGCTTAAAAAGCAAGACATTACAGATCCTTAAAAAAACCCCCAAAACCACACACACACAAAAAAGTCATCATAATTCAAAAATTTCTTGGCTGCCTTCCTAGCACCAGGAAAGCAAATTGGCATTTTCCACATGCTCTTCTTCACAAAGGCATAATTTCAGCAAAAACTTTTATTATTTATTACATTTTGGTATCTCTCAGTTTGGCGTTAGCATTTAATTCTGAATACATCAAATCAAGGCAAAGTGCTAGTGTTTATGGTGGTGATTTCTTTCTCCTCTTCAGCTGTCTTCTCAGAGGAGGAAGATTTCTCTGTACAGACAAGGTACTTCACACCTAAAATGTTCTCCAAAGAGAACATTCAATAAATGCACTTTGCATTAAGTTTTCAGGCCTCATTTTTAAAAAGTATTTTGGTAATACCCCGTGGACAATTTCAATACCTGACTCAGGCCACAGCACAGTGGCAACAATAGGTGCTTCACTCCATTTCCTTTCCCTCACTGCTTGTTCCTGCCACTCTTAACTGTTTCTTTAGTTAAATTTGTTCCCTGACCTCATTCATCTCACAGAGGGTAGTGCAATTCTTCAAGCTGAGATGCTGTACAAACATCCTAGTTTGCACCTTCAGTGTAAAATGGTGATTTCCAGGCTAAGCTCAGGTACTTATAGGAACTGTGTAAGTGATCTTGGCTTCAAAGCATAAATAAGTATGTGTCTGAAGGTTTTTCTGTTATGTATGCTGGAATGCAAATTAGAGTTGGGTAATAACATTTACCAGAATACAGGCTAAAGTTGCTACATAGCCATATTCTGGATTTTTTTATGGGCACAGTTTCTACCACTAGAAGCTCTTAAAAATCTGTTTACATAGTTTCAGCTCTGCTATTGTATTTGGCCATGCAACACCAGCAATGGGATTAGTAAAACAAAAAGCCTACAATCTCAGACAGAAGCATCCCATGGGCAGGAACATTTCTGTCCATGATTCACCATGCAAATTACACCACTGCAGATGTAAGACTAAGAGATCAAGCTTCAAGCTTGTGAAAGGTATCAGGGAGCTATATTTTTTTTCTGAAATTGGTGGCATTTTGACTTTTACCTTTGGCTAGCTGGACTCTTATTTTCATCCTGTGTTTTTCAACCCCCCTCTGTATAGGACTTACCTACCAAATGTATAACTCATCACAAATCCGGGCAACTCCCAAACTATATCACTGTGAAATTCAACCAGCACAAAGTTCCCAGTGGAAGTAAAGTCTGCAACCTTCTCTGTCCCACAGTAAGGGCCAACTGCAGGTGATGTAGGTTGGCTTCCATCATGTATGAGCAAGTAGTCATAGTTGCATCTGTCACTATATTCCAGCTCAAAGGATAACATTTTGAGAGATATCTGGAGAAAATACAAAGAAAGCACTTTGCTTCCAGGTTACAGCCTTTTCTCTTACCCTTTGTATGTAACAAGGACAAATAATCTAAAATCCTTGTGTGCAGGCACTGTTTTTTATTCTGTGGTTGCACCACATCCTGATCCCATACGGCAATGCAAATAAGTATCAAATTATTTGCTTAGTTCATCAGTCTTTGGATTGGAAGAAGAAGCAAGGGACAAGATTGATCCTCTACACTTTATGTTCTTTTCTCTAGAGAAATATAAAAACAACACCTGTGCAATGTTTGAGTTTTCTAGTGGGAACTCTTACTTAGGGATTATTTTGAACAAAGCTTGTACCTACTGGTACAAGCTAAATTCGTAAGTTCACATGCACATGTAAAGGTTTTCCCTTGCTGAGCACTTCAGATTCCAAGATCCAACATAAGTTCTTAAAATGAATTTTTGCTTTCAGATTTTTACTCTGAGAATGCCTGCTGAAAAAGTGACATTACAGCTCTTATTCTCCAAGGGAAACACATTGCATCAGAGAACAGTGATGAAACCCATAACTGAATTCATCTGTGTCTTACCTTGTATCCTACTGGAGAACTGATGATCCAGAAGCATGCTCTGTTTTTGGGGTATTTATTAGGGTAGTTTGGAGAAGTGATAACTCCATTTGAATCTCTGAAAGTGGCTCCACAATTCACTGAAGAATGAAAAACAGTGAAAGATATATTAACAAGAGCATTTTGTCAGTAGAAATGAGCTTGCATATACTCGATTGTATTATTTCTTCAAGCCAAGAAAAGAATGTACTACCATGAAAATCGACTGCCGAAATATTTTATTTCTTAGCTTAATATTTGTGTCAGCAGCTGTGCTGAAGGAACTTAGAAACATATCTGATAAATAACCTTTGGAGAACAGGGAACAGCTGCATCTAAAGCTGTATCTGTCTTTAAAATTGAGTGTTACCATATTAGCCTAGCATTCTAATGGCACTACCTGCACTTCAGAAAAGAATTAGCTCAAGTATTCAAGATTGCATTATCAAGCTAGATCTAGTGTTTTCTAAAAATGACTCCATCAAATAATGCAAAAAGAGTAAAAATGACACATTTCTAAGACTTCTTCAATTTATGCTGTAAAAAGGTTTGGATTTTCAGTTGAAATAAAGCAGCAGCAAGTTATTTGGGCTACTGCCTAACTGAAAGCATGCTGCAGTACAACAGAATTTTGTCTGGCAGTCCATAATGCATTTGTGCGTTCGCAAAACAGACACCCCTCAAGTGACTACAGTGAGCACTGTGTTTCATGCACATAACAAAAGCTTTTGATTCAGAAAGTGTAAGTTACCCAAGGTCAGTACCTCTCCCATTGCATAAAATCCTACAAAATCTTGCATAACATCTTGCCTGGTTACTGGCTTTATATCTCATTGGTTGAGATCTCTTGTTGAGTTCTGCAGTCTTTGTGCTCTTTGGCTGCACCACTCCTATTAATTAAAGTCATTGCATTGTTTTTATTTAAAGAAATGGTTCTGGAGATATGAAGAAGCCTAACACAGGCTCTCAGAAGAATATGAGTGGGATCTCAGGATTACTAACATGAGATCCATGCAACATCCCATTTTGTGTTTCCTATGAGACTTCAGACCCATCATTGCCTGGCCTCCTGCATTAGCAATTCCTGGGAAAGTCTAAAGTATGACAGAGACCTACTCTGGAGTATATAGTAAAAATTTTAAATTCTTACATACAAATACTATTAATGCTGTTCTATAAACTTTGTGAAGGAGTGTTCATACCCCTGTTGTAGGAGGCTCTGAATCCTGTGGCTGTAATGTTCTCATCACTTGCAAACTCTACCAGCATTGTTGATCCAGATGCCACTAAGGAGGGCAATGAATCCTTCCCACAGTACTTGTCCAGCAGGACAGGGGAATTCCTGCTGTTTCCATTGTAAATTTTTATATAGTCAGAAGAACAGTCTGGGGAGGGTTGAAGATCAAAAGCCTCAAACTGCAGGAAAACCTTGAGAAACAAGAAAGCAGATGTGGGATTTAATGCTATCCACAGGGAAAGCCTCAAACCATCTAATGGTTATCAAGTGAACCAGAACTTCATATTTATTTTACTATCCATGTATCATTGAAACTCTACTTTCTTTATTAAAAGAGCGTAGAATTTCACCTAGCTATCCTATTACTGAGCTCCCGGAGATTGATCTTTCACTGCTGCTTGTCTTTGAAAAGCCATCCAATCTGAACTGGATAAAAATCAAGTTAAATAAGGCATCTCATAGTCTTAAGTCTTATGAAAATTGTTGAGACTGTCTTTCATTCACTGCATAACAAAATAAATGTCTTGATCCATGAAACTGACTCCCAGGGGGTACTCACGATAATGAAATAATGCTGCATAGTCCAGACACTGAGGTTCAAACCTCTTTTCTCCTAATAAAAGTTACCTTACTTCGACGGACGCGGATCAACCACAGACAGTTGCTGTTGTTCGGATATGGAGATGGGTAATTGACAGAGGAGAATGAGCCTTTGGATTTAGGCAACACAGAACTACAGCAATCTGAAGGGAAGAACCAAACAGTGTTGAAGAGAATGAAAACTGCACAAAAATCTTCCCGGAGTGCCTGACAAGTCTCTCCAACCATTTGCATCAACGAAGCTTGCAAAAGAGAAATTAATTATAATGTTTACAATTGTGTTGATGTTCCTAGTGTAAAAGTTATTGAAAAACTGCAAGTGAAATAAAGGTAGTTAAAGTACTTATCTGATTCAGCTACTAATGTTTTTTTAAAGATAGTAGGGCTTCATTCTTTTCACATTTTAGTTTACTGAAAAAGGCCTGGATCAGCTGTGAACTTCCTTAACCTCAATGATGGATCTAGTTTCAATGAAATCAGTATATCAATTCCCATCAGCAAATGTGTGTATGCAAAAATCAAGCTTGAAAACTAGACACTGTCAAATCAAAGAGGGGTAGTCACTGGGGGAAAATAGTAACAGCAATTAAGTCTAGCAACAGACCTAGTGACTGATATACAAAGTCCGATCTCATCTGTCTTTCATCTTTCCACGTCTTCATTTTTTGCACTATGTGTAACTCCCTCAATTACAGAACACGAATATATGGCATCTGATCATATGAATTTATGACATATTTCTCTTGCTCCCTGCTTTTCCTGAGACAACTGGACTTTTTTCGTTTTTGGTTTTTTTTGCACCTGAGTTTTTCTCTCTTTTTTTTTTTTTTAATTTAATTTAGTTCTTCCAAGCATACAGATCTAATTATGAAATTACATAATAATGGTATTGAAGTGTGATTCATTCCCAGTCCCACTGTCAAGAATGAGTATAATTAAATATTTTTTATGACTATCTTTGAGAACATGACAGCCATTGTAACGTTGTCTTATCTGAAGTTTAGGATTTGGACAAATCACTCTCTGCAATGATTTCTGTACCTAACTATCCAAAGGAAGGAAAGCTGTTTACTTCTAATTTCTAATTATTTAACTAAGTTCTAACACAATTCAGAGCAGAATTTAGTACACTACTATTTAGGCCTTGTTAATGTTTCTTCCTGTTTTGGTGGAAACTAATTGAATAACATGCCATAAAAGTCAAATACCATATAAATCAATTAGCCTGTGTACTGGGAGTTCAGGCAAAACCCATGCATTGCAGGAGCATGATGTTATACCTGTTTTGTGCATCTCAGCTGAAGAGTTCCTGCTTACAGAGGAATGCTAGGTATTTCTAGACCTTAAGATACCACAGGGATGAGTTAAGAAATGGATGGAGTGAGGAATTAGATAGCTATACAAAAAGCCTGTGGTTTTCTTCTCAAAGAGATTTCTGAATGGCACCCATACTTACAACCCTTCAGTCATTTTCTAGTTGAGAGAAATCACAAACCTGCTGGGACTACTGAGGCACATGACCCTAAGCTATAATCATGGCTGAGGAGAGGTTACGTGCTTTACAACCTTCCAAGCTCTCCTGAAATTAGAATTTGACAGAAGTAGCACCCGTGATTTCTCTAATAGATTTTGCTTATGTCAAAGAGCAGGGATTAGGTGAGGATACCTCAGAATGACAGTGAATTATTGAAAGTAAATTGTCCTTTCCAAGAAGGCAGGGGTTTGGCACAGGGATAGTTGTTTCCTCTTGTAGAGTGAGGGAGAGATGTATTGAAAGGACTGATGGCTGAGTTCCTTTGGGGGATGTCTGTCAGTGCCCACAGACATCAGCTCCCATGCCTTTTATCTACAGCACTTACTGCACTTGTAGAGCTTGTTGATTTTGGCTACATCCAAGTTACTCAGCCCTTCTCTCTGCCCAATGGGTATAGAGGGGTCAGGAACTGGTACAATAGTTGGTTTCCCTGGAGTGCTGGAGAAATCGTACCTGTAGGAATAAGGAAATCACATTTCTAGATTACTTCTCCTAGACAGTGAAGTTCTCTAACTGCATAATCATATTCATGTACCACATGAACAGAATGAACAGAATGGAAAAGGACAAGAAGCTTCTCAGAGACCAGCTCGTCTTCCCTGAAGAGGATCAGCGTGGCAGCCATTTGGTGTGCAGCAGCTGAGGGCAGGGAAGCAGAAAAAGCTGCACTGTCCTGAGTCAAGAGAGTTCACCAATGTCCTGGCAAAATGAACTGAATCCCACATTCTTGGTTCCTGAGGCAGAGGAGACAGAAGTAGTTCTGTCTCAGTTACTAATTGCCTATTTGCTGTTTGCAATTTCCTGCTTTTGGCTAGGCAAGTTTTATTTCACAGTTTTGTTCAGAAGTTGTTACTTGCTCAAGGAAATAAAGGAGAAGGCACATAATACAAGCTTGTACATTATGGACTAAAATGCAGCCTTAGGCAGTGCTCCCAGATGAGTATAAGGCAGCATACAACATTTAATGATATAAAAAAATAAATCCATCTTTCTTGCCTCTATACTTAAATGTTGTTGTCTATGATCAGCTGTTACTATATTAATGAAATAATTTAGACTTCAGAACTAGTTTAGATCAGTGACTCAAAACAGTTAGACTTTGGACCACAGCCATGTCAAAGGCCTCTGCTAGCAAGAGGCAGGAGTACAGTGAATGAAAGTGTTGTCCTATGTTTTAATTCTGTCCATATCAATTCTCGTTTTCCAGGACTCCTGCTGACAAAGGAAGTATGCTCGCTCTTAATTATGTCCATTCACTCAATTTTAAATGAACAGCAAATTAATTCCCTGCACAGAGCAACTGCTTCTTCCTAGATCCGAAAGCTGTTTGCTCCTTTGAAAAGACATTTCAGAAAACAACTTACGCGCCATAGTGCATCACTGAAGAGTAGTCATAGGGAAGACCCAGGTTTCTGGAATTCATTTTTCCAAAGTTCCCTTGTTCCCCTGTAAGGTAGGAAAGCAACATTTCAGTCAGAACAATTATTGCTGCTCTAATAGTACACTGCCTGCTGTCATAATCCTAAGAGCAACTTTGGATACTAATACTTGTTCTCATGAGATCTCGGATCTGGCAAAACCACCTGAGATTTTTGAAGCCTATGGGAATCCATTTTTACAGTCTAGTAGGTTTCAGAATATAAAGTGAATCGAGTAAGTCAAAGTTTTGATATAATCAATGAATCCATTACACTCTTCAAGCAAAACTACTCATCTTCTTTAGGATATCTCCAAATACATTTCAGAGCATTATCTTGAATATTATAAACATCCAACCTATGTCTCCAAAGCTGCATCCATACCTTTAGAGGGAAATCTGGCTACCCACGTAGGTAAAAAATTCAGAGCTATGCATGGGTCTTGCTGAGTCCTTTCACCACAGCGTTATAAGACCACAAAAGAAAGGGATTCCTTGCCCCAGAGGCCATGTTATCAGTCATGTTCTGGCCTTGTCTCTTATCAAACCCATCAGCAATGACTACAGTGAGAGATATGATTCACATGAAGCAGAGAAACTCAGCTAAACAAATTCTGTCTGAATATAGCTGCTTTTCATCTGTTTAACCTTAAAAAGCCAACATGAGATAAAAAAAGTGTTACACTGATACAGGACTGGGGACCAGGGACAGAGACGGGAATTCATGTCACCTAGCTTTATTTCTCTAAGTTAGGTGCTGAAGCTATTCCTCAAGGCTTCCAGGTTAGTCAGAGGAGACAGAAAGAAAGAGAGACACAGTTAGAGGGAGTTTTATCTGAAGAAGACACCTCGTTCTCTCCATGGACTGTAGAGCATGAATATGAATTGCATTCTGGGTCTCTTGGCCATGGTATGACAGGCAGGCAAGCAAGCACTGTCAGAGCAGGGAGCTGAATGAAGTCAGTCTGGCATTGAAGCTAAAGCCCTAACCACCGGGCACTCCTTTCCAGTTCTGTACTCTGTTATTGTAACTGTAAATGTGGTTTGTAAACCACGGACCATCTGGACAAGAGTTCAGAACTGGATATCTTTGCAGCCTACACAACTCAGCAGGCTTGCAACAAGAGGAAATCTCAGCCAGTAATGCCCTCCAGTGCTGATCCTGGGCTGAGGGCTAAGACATGCAAAAAGAAGATTCAAAATCCTCAGTCATATAAAATTTGGGGATAAACACAACTTTGGAGCTTTTCATAGATCAAAGCCTCATTAAGGCTTAAACTGTTTCTCAATGGCATTGGTCCCCCTGACTATGTTTTAATCTCAGTTCCTCTTATCTGCTATACTGACTTCAGAAAGAATTATCAGCAAGTACACAGCTTCTTTTGAGGTGATGAACAGAGAACACAGTTCAAATGCAGTGAACATCTGAGCATGTGGCTACTGTTTGGCACAGAAGTGCTTTGCTGAATTTTTTTGCTAAATAAAGAAAAAGTAATGGCATCCTGGCTGGACTGAGGTGCTGCCAGCAAACAACCATCTCCCTCATCACATGCCAGAGAGATCTGGCTGTCTAGACCTGCACATGTGTGGGGACTTACCCTATCTTTTCCACTCTAAAAAAAAATAATAAAATCTACCTCTGCCCGAATCTAAGTGTAATGACTCTTCTGAATATTTTTTTTTCTCCAAAAGTTTGGGAAAAACAAGCTGAGTTTCAAGTAGCTAAGTGGACAGCAACCAATCGGGCTGCATTTTGTCAAAACAAAGAAGTAGGATGGCTTCCAACGTAAATTACTGGATAAAAACAAAATCCAGAAAACATCCACAGTACGGAAGTCCTGGCAAGAGAACAGCTTGTGTGAGAGAGCTGGGAAGCTGCAAAAGGTCTTGAGGTCTACTTCTGCACCACCAAAGTCAGGAGGAGCTCTGCTATGAGCACTGCAGCATGTTTTTAGAGGAGATGTACACTAACAGTCCTCATGAACATAACTGTGTTTCTTTATTTCCTTTCCCCTTTATATCTTCGCATTTTTTCCCTACAGTGCTTGAGCTGCATACACTCTGCATTCTAACTCCCTTGTCACACAAATCGTCTCATTCTCCACCCATGGTGAACGCTGTTAAAACACTGAAGATATAGCCCATCTCCTTTTGCACAGTCTTGTCTTTTTTACGTCTTTCCCCTCATTTATCCTTTCATGATACTGTGCCTGAATCAGAGCTTGGTTACGTCTGGCTCAGGGGTTGAGCACAGAGGGTAATAGTGAATGGGGTACCATCAGACTGGCAACCTGTCACCAGTAGGGTTCCACAGGGCTCCATTGTAGGCCCTGTGCTCTTCAACATCTTTATAAATGACTTGGACACAGGACTGGAAGGGATACTAAGCAAGTTTGCAGATGACAGAAAACTGGGAGGAGCTGTTGAGTCCCTCGAAGGCAGGGAGACCCTGCAGAGAGACCTCGACAAATTAGAGGACTGAGCAATCCCCAACCATATGAAGTTCAACAAGGGGAAATGCTGGATACTGCACCCATAATGGGGCAACCTCAGATGTTTGTACAGACTGGAGAATGAGATGCTGGAAAGCAATGTCACGGAAAGGGATCTAGGGGTCCTGGTTGTAGGTAAGTTGAATCTGAGTCAGCAGTGCCCTGGCAGCCAGGAGGGCCAACCGTGTCCTGGGGGGCATTAGGCAAAGCATCAGCAGGTGGTCGAGGGAGGGTATTGTCCTGCTCTGCTCTGCACTGGTGCAGCCTCATCTTGAATATTGTGTGCAGTTTTTGGCACCCAACATAGGAATGACATTAAGCCATTAGAGAGTGTTCAAGGAAGGGCAATGAAGAAGGTGAAGGGCCTTGAGAGGAAGCCATATGAGGAGCAGCTGAGGTCACTTGGTCTGTTCAGCCTGGAGGACACCAGTGACAGGACCTGAGGGAATGGCCTGAAGTTGTGCCAGGGGAGGTTTAGGCTGGGTATTAGAAAAAGGGTCTTCACCCAGAAGGTGGCTGGGCACTGGAACAGGCTCCCCAGGGAAGTGGTCACAGCACCAAGTCTGACAGAGTTTAAGAAGGATTTGGATGATACTCTCAAGTACATGGTATCACTCATGGTCCTGTGCAAGGCTTGATGATCCTTTTGGGTCCCTTCCAACTCAGCATAGTCTGTGATTCTCTATCCTTCAGAAATTATGACATCTGTACCTGTGGACTTCCCTCCGCAAAACTAGTGTAAGATTCTGTGTGTCTAATATATATAACTTAATGTTTTCAATTCCTCTTTTCTAGTATATCCTTTGCTGGCATTTCAAACATGGCACACCCTTGTACAGTGGCAAACAACTCACAGCAAAATTATACCTTAACACTAGAGCTGAAAACTCAATAAAGAACAGCACAAATGGAATTTATTTAGGATATCATGGGAATAGCTGAAAAAACTTTGGAGAACAGTGTGTTAGGAATTTTCAATAAAAACAATCAAGTTCCATCTGGAGAAAAAGATATTTTCAGCTTTGCCTGACAGTGAAGAGCTGAATAACTCATTTGTTGAAGAGGTGTATGAGAATTTGGTATTTGATTGTCCAGCCCCACTTACTATTATTTTCTATAATGAACTAAATACACTATTTTATTTTTACAATTGTTTTGAGTTGTCCAGCTCTCTCACAGCTGTCAGATAAGTGATTCCCTCCATACTTTCTTCTGATATTTTCCTTCTGTGTACCACTTTCTCATTTTCCCTTTGATCTCCTGCTGTTCTCTCTACCCTTTATTGCCCAGACCCTGGAGGTGTGTATATGAGCCCACGTTTTCAGCACACAGATCATGGGCACATGCCCAAACTATTTATCCTGCATTCCTTTCCCTAAATAACATCCACTTGTTTTTCCTCTATAGATTTACCTATCCTGATTGCTCCCCATGGCTCCTTCTTTTCATGGGAGCGTATATTATTCTGTCCACAAGGAGGAAATAATTGCAGTCATTCCTCTCACATCACACCAGGTTCCAGAATTTTGCACATGCTAGTGGTTGCATGTGCTTCCATTGTCTCAGTATTGAGTCCCTCGTTCATATACATTTTAGGATATGTGCATTTCACTCACTGCCAGTGCCAAGATGTCTGCTTGCTGCCTTCCCCTATTTCCATGATTTTCCCCAGGATAGAGCTGCTGCGTGATTCCCCACCATGATCTCAAATGTCACGTTTCACCCAGTTAAGAGTCCTATAGTCTTACTTCATGGCCAAGTCTTATCTATAACATTTTGCATTTCTGATGATCTTGATATTTTGAAGTCTGGGCTCAAGATGGCAATCAGAATAAGAATGTAGAGCTACTTTTAGACTGTATCTTCCACACTACCATAGGTGTAGCCACTGAAATTTCCCTAGTACAAACATTCTCCTTTATCTGAAAGTATATATTTTCTCTTAAGATTTAGTGGACATACCTGCCACTATGTGTTCCCACATAATCTTGACAAATCTGTCCCGATCGCTCCGTGCCTGTTCGTGGATGAAACCCAGCGCGTGGTTCATTTCATGCTGAATTGCTCCTTTATCCATGCAACCATTTTTCACCAGGCCTACTGCTTGACGTCCTCCAATTTTTCCAAAGTAAGACCAGCAACTAAGAATAGGCAATCAATAACCAAAATTATTATATTCAGCAAATAAAAAAAAAAATAGATGTACTGTTTATGTCACCAACGTCCTTTAGATATGCAGCCACAGAAGGGGACATTCAAATAGTCACTGGCATGAGATAAAATTTTTACAACAATAAAGAAAATGTCTCATTTTTGAATTATACCCTGTTACTTTTAAGTCCACACACACATGTATTCCTGCAGCCTATTAACTGATTTAACTTTCAGTATATCTGAAGAAAAATGAAAAATTGCACCTGCTCTCTGAATCTTTACTCCCAGGATAAAAAAAAAAAAGGCAATTCCTTAAGTCCAGAACAAAACAGAAAGGAATCTGAAAGATCTTTTGAGTGCTTCCACTCTCAGGAGACAGGGAGCTTACCTCTGCCCATGTTCAACATACACGTAGTCTGTTTCTGTAGTGCGATTTACAAACTGCACACAGGTCAGTGTGGAGATCTCCTGCAGAGCATCAGCAATCCAAGACCTCTCTGTTATGGCTAGAAAGAGAATGGGGCCAGGAGAAATCTTTCTTGGTTAATAAAAACCAAGGTGCATTGATGGGGTACATTCCTTTAAAACTTCACAACGTTTTTTAGCTTTTTATCTTACAAGTATGGTAAAAAAAGGGCACAAAGCCTTCAGAGATCTTCAAGTTGATTGGACTTTTAAGGGGAGGTATAAAAATTACAGCTATCCATATGCATATTCTATAGGAAACCCCTGATGGAAAGCAAAAGATTTACATTGTTTCTTCCATTAGACAGGACAGAAGAAATGAGACAGTTTCAGATATAAATAATTAGATTAAAATATCCCAAATGAGCCAGTTGACTGTAGCTAAGCACCAAAACCTTATTTTTTATCAGAAAAAAAACTGCCTGCCACAGCCCCTCTGGAATCACTTGAGACAGCCAAGGCTCTGATGATCACATGTGGTGTTTCTATTCAGCTACCAAATAAAGATCAGAGTGTTTATCTACTTTGGAACATTTTGGCCTAATTTGGCTTCCTTAGTTATGAATCATCTATGACTGATTTGTATCTCAATTTCCTAACATTTAAAGTTTGGAGAGAAGGAAATAACCCTCACCTAACCACAAGAGTATATGCCGCAGTTCTGGAAGCAGCACATAGGCAGAGAAGCAGACTAGATAACGCAGAGACTGGGCTTTCCTCAGTTCCTTTCCCTGAGGAACGGGAATCAGGCACAGGCCGTATTTCACTTCCATGACATTTTCTCTCTGGGTAAGATCTTTTAAGAAGGGTCTGTATGGAAGCCCCAGTCCAGATTAAGGCATCACTCCTGCAGCCTTTTGCACAGGACAGAGCTATTGACTGACTAGAGGGAATTAACAAAGGAAAAAATATCTTCAAGGATATCTTTTCCTCCATTTTTGCCTCTACAGGATTTCTAGTGTGGGAATATTTCTATGAGAAATTGAAAAGAAAATTATAGAGTTCAAAAAAGTGCTCCTAGTGGTAATTTTGACAAAAATACATTCATAATGTGAATAAATTATGCTTTTTCTTCTCTACTTGCTAAATATCAAAGTGCATTGTAGCTAGCAGGAATGGGCTAATATTTGAAATTACAATTAATTAGCTGACTACAGCCCAATTAACCACATATTTTAGTGTCTGTAACTGAAATGTTGGGAGTCTTAGCCAAACTACCACAGGGCTAAAGGACAGCAAAAGAGATGTGTCAATAAACTCTCACTTGTGCAGAGGTTGCTTTTGGTGCATGCCACAGAAAAATAAAATAACAGGGAGTATAGGGACTGGCCGATCAATGCTAACTTTACAGCATCCATTTGCATACACTCACAGAAATCAGAAGAGATGTTAACTGGAACCTTGACTAGTCCATCTTGTGACTTAGGCCATAAACAACTCTCACAGTTAATTGCACTGCGTCGTCCTCTTCTCAAGAGGATGTCTCCTTCATACACAGCTATTTCACTACCTGGCAGATGAAGAAGATAAAGAACATACAAGTCAGTCAGAAGGCAAATACACATAAATAAGGGAGACAAGAGGTACACACTAACCAAGCTTTTGGAAATTTCTTTCACTGAAGTTCATCTCCTAATAATGTGAGAAAGGATTAGTATGCCAAGACTGGTTAGGTTTGCCTTGCTTCCTGGGTAGAAAAGTTTAATATTAATATAGATGTCATAGTGCAGCTGTAATCAGTCCTGACTAAATATATTTTAGCTTAAAAAGCTTTGGGAGCTTTCAGAGGGGACTGCTAAGTATTATAAGTCATTGTACTCTTTATTAGAGATTGTGGAATTAAAGAAAAATCATAAGTGACCTCTGTAAAAATGAGATGAATCATACAAAAGAAATTACTATTTTTATCATGCATATTGAATGCATGAAAGCTATTAATTTCCAGGTTAACTGTTAATTTGACATAAGACATTGTGACATCCACCTCAATTCTGACTCCAAAATACTTGGAATACATTTCTCACAGACAAGAGCTATCAGTTATTAGGCCAAGAAAAGTACAACAGTCTTGGGTGTAGCAGGCAGGGAACTGCTATATATCACATAGAAAAGAAAACAAAGTGAAGAATAATCTGATTTGCTGAAACTACATATAGAAAAGAACATTTCATGTAGCAATTGCTCTATAAGTCTTCTTAATTTCTTTATCCAAACAGCATAAATAATCACACTGAATATGACTTTAAAACACACTTGAATTCTGTGAACTGCCTTCCAGTGATGCCAAAAAACATTTTCAAAGAGAAAAAAGTACCAGATAACGATGCTCAGGTATATAGATCCAGCCCCACCAAAACCTGCAGTTATTTATATAATAATTACAATCAAACTCACCTAAGTCATTGTTTCTTGTAGCTATCTGAAAAAAAAGCATATATTTTAATACATGTTCATCTCCATAGCAGAAGACTTCTATCATGTGGAATCACAGCAGTAGGAGTTTGTAACTAATTTTAAGAGAGAGCAACTCATCAGCAGCAATGTAAATTCTCAGCATCTCAGAGCAGTGACACACCTGGACAGGTTTACTTAGTGCAAAGCTATAGAGAAATGCTAAATGAGTTGGCAGAAGAAAGTACTTCATCTTCAGGTTTCCAAGACGATCTTCTCTGCTCTGCAGCTCAGTTGTCAAAGTTGTGGTTAGTTTACTTGGGGCAAGTTTTATGGGAAAGCTGCTGCTGTTGTTAACAAGTGTAACAAAATTAGATAACAAGAAGTATTTTTACAAAACAAACAAGCTGCAGGACCTCTCAAGAGAATTTCCAGGCTCTCATTTCTTATTTATCTTTAGAAAACAGAGGAAGTGGAGCAATAGGAAAGAAAATTCCATAACCTTAAAGTGACTCATCTTTAATTCTAAGAACCCATGAGCTGCTGTAGGTCCCCTCACTGCTGACCAAGGCAAGGATATCTGGTAGCAGTCTGTTTGCAGCACAACTCAGTCTCAAACAACTCTTTGATCTATCCACACTACCTGTTCTAGTAATTCCCTAGCTTGCTGCCAGGAGCCACCCTGCTCTGCAGAGCCCATCTATAAGCTTGTCCCCTCTGTGCACAGCTCTCAGGCAGGCATTGCTAGCCAGGAGCACTAGAAATCTGTTGGAGTCAGAGATGAATCCGATTGTTGATTAAAATTGTTTTTCCAATACAATATCTTGCAATATAATCACCACTGACAGCAATTGTATGTCTTTCTGGAATCTATAAATAAAAACCACCAGCTCACAGAGCTTTGGCTTCCCACCTTCTGGGAAGCCCTCCTTCCTTTGATGTCCATAAGTAGAAACAAGACTAGAAAGACAGGCTGAATCCTAGAAAATCCTACACTGTAAGAGTAAGCCACAGAATGGGAATATTCATCTTGCAGATACATGAACCCCACCATAGGCAAGCATATCTTGCTTTCTCCTTCCAGCTTCAGCCCCTGCACAAATACTGAGGTGCTATAGAAAATCCTAAGGATTTGCTGTATCAGATCTTTAAGAAATAAGCAAGAAAACCTTTGGAATTGCCTGCAGAGACAAATTTTTGAGGAACCTATGTGGTTCACAGCAAATTGAGATGGCAGAGTGTGCCTTTTCAGAGAGATGTATGGGCTGGTCCTTTGTTATTAGGGAGTACTTTGCTAGGAAAATTTTAGCTGATATTATGTAAAGCTTTGCTACTAATATTTTCATTTTACCCTATTAATAGTTTGCTCATAAAATTTCTAAAATATTGCACATTTCTGTGACTTCCACAATTCATCTACAGTTATAATTTCCACGTAGATTATACTGCAAAATGAAGTGGAACATTTTTCTTTGGCTGATAAGAGGATGAGGTTCAGAAGTGTCATAGTTTGAGATGGCCCCCCCGATTGGGAGTGGGGGGCTCAGAAGAATCCAGGTGAAATTGGAGACGGGCCAAAAGGCTTGAGAGTTGCCCTGCCGAGTTTTGACTGGGGGCAGCCGAAAACTGACTTGGAGGAATGAAGATTCCAAACGCCTACTGTGATAAGCTACACTACAGCAACAGCAAACCGAGGTATGAGACTGAGGTATGAGAGAGAGAATGACACAGCAGAGACTGACATGGAACCGAGGACAAAGGTCTCAAAGCTACCTTCTTGGACTTTGTGAGGAGAAAGACTGCAGTAAACAGCTGAAGGTTGGTGAGGGAGTGTTCAGGGGCCCCGAACACTCCCACAAGAGAGAGACTGCGTTACATATCAGCCTTGAAAGGCTTCTCCTGGACTAAAGTTAAAGGGAGGGGCTTAAAGGGACTGATAGAAGTGTAATAATATATATATATAGTTGCCTTTAGTTTGTATAGTATTTATTTGTGTAAATAAATATATATACTTCCCCTTCCCCCTATAGGAGCCTCTGGCCTGAAAGTTTTCTCTTTGGTATTGGGATAAATTGTGGGAAGGGGTGGGAGGAAGCCTGGAAATTGGACTCTGGATTTCTAATGTGGCTAAAACTGTCCTCATGTTTGTTATATTGTTAACCAGAGCTCTTTCTGTACAGTTCGAAGCAACCTCTGTGTCTATTCAAGATCAGGTTCAAAACAGAGACAGAAGGAGTCACAGGAGCATATTCCTGATGCAATACATCACAAAACAACAGAGGAAAGAGCAGAAGTTATTAGGCAGTAGAAGCAAGAGAAGACGACCTGTTCCAGCTGGGTCACTCCAGGTGTGCAGCAAGGAGGGATGGGAGGGCCCTTTGAAGTTCTTCCAGTTTTGCATATCCATTTCATGGGAAAAAAAAACCCTTGAATGAAGAGATTTATCCCATGGTTTAATTAATTTTCCTGACTGCCAGAAACAACTGGGCATTTTTCAAGGCTAATTAATAGACCAAAGTCTCATATCACCTGATAGCACATTATCAGAAGTTGTCTCGTAGATGCAAATTTCCTTTTTGATGCTGCTTGTCTACAGTTGCCTGCTTCAATATTTTAGCAGAATAATATTCAGGTCTTGTTCTCATTATCTATCCAAATAATTTGATTACACAGCTGTAACTTGCATTCCTTCTCCCATATGCCTTTTCTTACACTGTCTTTTGGCATTTCTCATTGTTAGCCACACTGTCCTTGATCTGCCAGATATTTTATCACTGCCATTGGTTAGAAATTTTAATATGATGTTTATCATATTCTTAGTGATGCTTGCTTAGTTTCAACTTAATTTCACAGCATAGAATGGGCACTTCTTTCACCATGTAATCCAAGTACCTCTTGGCAAAATGTTAAATGATAAAGTTAGAAAAAATGAACACCAGTAGGTGTTTAAATATAAGGTTTTTCCCTAGCCCTGTATCAGTAATAGGTATCATCAGAAATGATAGGAATGGTATGTCCCATGACTTTTCCATAATGAGAAAGTACAGAGGCACTTTCCCTGGCTAAAGCATTAGAGCAAATGAACCTCAAGGGACACAAATTTCAGGAGAGTGAATGGCTATGTGACTGTCTAAGTATCCAGTGGAATATCACTCTAAAACTCAGTTCCTCAGCTACTCACATAAAGGTCATGCAGGCAATTTCTAGTGAACAAACAGTCGGCATAACTCAACTGTGTTCACCTTAGGAAGCTTATTACTTTTCAGGAGGATTCACAGTTATCTCTACATGCTTTAAGAGGCCAATTGTTCTTACTACATAAAAAATCCTAATTTTTAAAGTAACAATAACAGAAAATATTGCATTTACTACATGACAATTCTTTTTAAGGCTCTGAGCAGCTCTGCATTTAGACAGAAGTCAGATTCTGCCAAAGAGCATTTTAAAATAACTTTGTAGTCATTAAATGAAGGTATTATACTACACTATAACAGGCTGAAAAGAGTTAAACAATAAAAACATACACAAAACCTCCTTTGCATTTAAAATTATGTTAGTTAAGAATTATCTGTTTACAGATATTGTGTCTTATAGGATGCCAGGATTAGTGAAAGCATGCAATTCATGCCTCATTAACGATTGGGAGAAGAAAATGAGCTTTCCTGCTTTTCAGTTGCCAGCAAGGTAATCGGTTTAGAATAATTAAATCATTGACCTTGATGAAGTGCAAAAAATGTTTTGGCTTTTGCAGAAATTAAGATTTACAGATTAAATTAAGATTTTGTAAATCTGGTCCCTTATTTTGTCCCAGTTACCAGGCAGCAAAAGCAAACCTTTCATAGAAAAGGTTACTATTGAGCATAGTATACATGTGATACATAAACACTTGAATGCTAATTTTAATATAATTAGTCAATTGAGGTGTACTTTACAGCATCTTAGGCCATTACATATATTGACATATTTCCACATTTTAGGTATGTTTTTATTTAAAAGAAAGATCTACTCTTTGAGAGAAAAAGTCTCCAGCGTAAATACTGAACTATGTTGAAATTAGTTTAAAACCAACATGTGTTTGGACTCTGTTTCTCCTAAACCACCCCTGCACAGTGTGATCTTTGCTATTTTACCACCTTTTACCTTTCCAATGTCAGAATGATACCATAATGTTAGAAAGGAGAGGCACAAGTCTACAGACCCTGATCTGAAGATAACTACATGTGTCAGTGAGCCTTAACTTGAGATGACAGCTAGAGACAAGAGTCAGCAGAAGCTTTTACAGCTAACTTGGTTTTGGAAGTAGCTGTAGGGTGAAGAGAACTTTACTATAGCTTTTTAACTTGATGCATGGGGGAAGTTGGGTTCCTGGAGACGAGCTACAAAGACTGATTTCAGTATTTGAGTATTTACATACCCAAAGACTGAGCCAGATGGGACTGGCTTGTCCATAGCTGCCCTGGTTCTGGTAAAACCTGATCTGAAACCAGTGTCCAATTGCAAACATCACACAAATGCAGTTTTATGTAAAAGTTCTTCAGACACAAAGGAGAAGTCCTGATTTAATGCTGCTCTCTAGTGGTTTGCCATTTGTGCAAGTGGGACACATTTCCCGAAACAATCAGGAACTCCCCATCATCACTCACAGCCTGTTAACTCCTTTGATCCCTCTCTCAGCACCAACCACTAACTGCAGAAAATGCTTGCAGGCATGAAAAGTCTGTCCTGTAATCTGTGCTGAGAAGTGATGCATCAGTATTAGCCTGAACTACCTCAAAACTGTAGTTTAGCTTCTGCAGTCTTGTTACTTCACTATTCACCTTCTCCAGATACTTATAGATTACGCATACAGATGCCACAGTAGATTTCTGAAGTGCTCTGATGGCCCATTAGGAAAATGAACCATTTACCTGCACCATTTTCTCTAAAGGATTCTTAAATCTTCAGATTTATTTTGTTGATGAGTCCTCTTAAAAGGTTTTAGTAAGCTTATACTGCAGAACCCAAATACTCCTCTGGCCCTGTCCTGGCTCCACTTTAACTTCACAACATAGGCCATTGCCCTTTTCCCTGGTTTGCCTTGAAAGAGAACCAAGACAAATGGGCCAGAGGGGAGCACCCAGTAAAGTGCTACTCTATAAGGGAGGCTCCCTAGGATTTGTGGCCCCAGCAGTCTCTCAGTAGCTCAGCATAACCAATTTGACATGGTGTTGAAGTCCATCCAGAGGCTGAAGGCACAGACAAGACTAAAAACAAGGGCACAACACACATCCAAGGTCCAGAAAGGATACTA